CAATAACAAGAGCGCACAGTGCTGAGTTTGCGTTATAACCAGCTGACGTTTTTGGCCCATCTGCATAGTCTGTTATTTAGTAGTATAACCGTCCATCATGAGGACGTCTTCAGTTTTTAGCTTTGCTAAACACAAAGGACCAATTTATACGATCAGAAATATCGGTAAGTATCCACAGTTATATAATCAAGGTGAGTGTTAAATTAATGCATTTCCAGTTCACTATGTTATGTTTAAGGGTAATATACATTGATTCCAGTCGGAACACCCGTGGTAGTAGGTGGAAATGCACTCTGAAATGGTGAATAGTCCAAGTGGCAGTAGTCATACATCGGCTTCAGGGATCTTTCATATTAGCGTATGCAGCATCATTCGAGAAGTTTAGTTGATGCATGGTAACTTTTACTTGAAAAGATCAGTTGATACAGAGTACTGGAGAACAAGTTATTTGGAACAACTGCAGGACGCGCCTTTGCTCGTCTCTCAGCCTTTGGATTTTTCCACATTGAAAAACTTCCGCTTAGAATGCTCAATCTAAAAATCGAACTTTTTCAGCACTCCTATTCCTACACACACTTCACGACTGCATATTCGTCAACTCACTCCTCAACAGTCGAAAATTAGCATTACTATTCCCTTAAACCAACCGGTCTACCCCCTGTCAGTGGTTCTTGGGTGGCTCAACTGCCAAAACTGCCTTAGCTCTCGGTACTCTTCAGAGGTCATTCCCCAGGAAACAACTTTCCTAGTTTTACACACACATCTGAAGCTAACAGTTTAACTCGCTGGTCAAGAGCACAGGAGCAAGTGACAGGTGTCTGAAGGTGAGCCAACATAAATTGTCTTCCCTTATCTATTCTGTCCTCTTACTACATTCAGTCTTCAACCTCTTTATCGCCGTTAAATATTTGTTTTCCCGAGAAGTCTATGTAATGGTCATATGTCTGCTCAAAACTCTAGATCCGAAGCTTCGACACGGATAAGGCAGTCGTGCACGACACCGGTGGCTGCAGTGTTCGTACTAAAGTTGTTTCGGTAGTCGCTGAAGCATTTGCATGCAACCTATGTCACCGATGGGCTCATTGCCACTGCAACACCAAAGTTCCGCGACAGTACTACACGCTGATGAAGAGACAACCATGCAAGTGGTTCTGGTGCATTTGTCCAGAGTGCAGGAAGCTGTCCGCACTCCACACGGAAGGCCTGAAGGAGGTGCTCTCCACCACGCAAAAGCTACCAGTATCCTCGAATAAAGTAGGGTTAACGCTAAGGGATAACACATAGGGACCTGGAAACGGAGCTAGATCTCCAGCTGCACGCACGCCACCTCGCGTGGGGACCACATTAGTTCAAGTCTTCATGCCCCCTACCCGGTCTCAGGGAACGTCAAGCGCATGGCCAAAGACGTAGACCGCTGAACCTTCTACGAAGCCCACTCCAAACATGTCACACACCACGACTGAGAACGACCAGTGGAATTACCCAAGCCCACTGGGAAGTCGGGCGTGCCATTCACAACGAACCCAGGTCACAGGAGGGCTAACTCGATCGTCTCGTTCAATGTCGATGTATCGACGGAATCATTGTTGTTCGAGAGGAAACGGCTTGACAGCGGGATGTGGACCGACTAACGTCAGATGCTGGGACTCCCTCCTCTCCCTGCAACCTTGTGTCGCCTTCCTCGAGGAAGCCCTGCACCCCGAGATAAGCAGATCTCTACTTTAGCTCCCGTTTAGAGGCAAGGAGGTAAGCGAAACCGCCTTAACCCGGCTTCCAGAATCTCCGTGGTGCTACTTCACCCTCCACCTTACCAAATGCCTGCTCGGAGTCATATATCGGTCCCCCACCAGCTCCCCTAGACATAAGGGAATGGTCTTCAAGGAAATCTTGACGACTTCCTCTGCAAGTTACGATTCCGTAATCATTGCCGGTGATTTCAACGCCCCGTCCATCCTCTTTCAGACGGAAGGGAGACACATCAGATCCTTCAATCAGAAGCTGAAGAATGCAATTAAGACTGCTGGCCTCTCGGAGAAAGTGGGTGATGCCACACGCTGAAGACCTAACGGAAACGCATCGCGCCTTGACTACGTTCTGACGAACGATGAACTTCTCATTGAGGACGTTTGCATCCAACCTCCCCTTTGCCTCAGTGACCACGCTGTAATCACCTTCTCCATGATAACTAGGTAGGCTCTGCAACTGCAGACTTCCAACGCCTTCCCTTGCCACATCAAGGCCAACTATGAGACCATGAGGGACTACCTCATGAATGCATCATGGCCGATAGACTGGACTCATCTCACAATAGATGAACACTGGTTGGAGGTGAAGAAAATAATCACTGGGGCCATCAGTCACAGTGTACCAGAAGTAACACACGGACAATCAGTGAGAACCTCATGGTTAAAGCGTGGGACAGAGAGGCTTATCCGGAGCAAGAAGTAGGCTTGGTCCAAGTGGCGTACATCACGCTGGCAGCCTGACTTCCTGAACTACAAAAGGATTCGCAACCGCTGCAACATTAGAGTGCGTAGCCACAGATTTTCCTATCAAACAAACCTGGAGGCGAGGTTACAAAGCAATCCCAAAACTTGTACCGCTTCATGTCGAGAAGAAAGTCGACCAGTAAGGGAGTGAATCTTGTCACAGGCCATGACGGGAGTATACTAGGCAGTCTGGAGATTGCCGAGCTTTTGAGCTCACACTTCCAAGCCCAACTTAGCACTGACACAAGATCCACACCGACTAGCTACGACACCGACCAGGTAGTAAATGACGAATACCTCTGTCACGTCTCTATTACAGAGAAAAAGGTGTCCGAGAAACTGTCTAGGCTACGTCCAGGCAAGTCCCCTGGCTGCGATAACCTAAAACCAGTGGTTCTGAAAAACATGCTCCGACGTGCTCACCAAACCGCTTCGCAACCTCTTTGAGCACTCGATAGACTTGCGCAAACTCCCTAAAGAATGGAAGAGAGCCATCTTGTCACCCACCCTCAAGGGAGGAGACAGAAAAAGCCCTAGCAGCTACAGTCCAATTGCTCTACTCCCATTGTGTCGAAAGTGTTGGAAAGCCTGGTAGCTGACACCATCTGGGAATTCCTCAATAGGGAAAACACTGTCGATACTGCTCAGCATGGTTTTCAGAGTGGTCGCTCATATGTCACCAACTTACTAACCGCCTGGGACGACTGGACACAAAGCTGGAATAACAGAAAACCGGTACATGTATTTCTCGACCTAGACATGGCACTTGACAGTGTCCCACCCACAGTCCTGCTTCACAGGATCATGTCAGCTGGTAGAAGTGAACCCCTACTCTCTTGGTTTAAGGAGTACCTGGGAGGGGGCAGTTCTGTGCCAAAGTAAGAAGAATAAGGTCGGAGTGGAGGCCCTCGACGTTAGGAGTATCCCAAGGAGCAATCTTGGGACCACTTCTGTTCCTCCTGTTTGTCAACGATCTACCAGATAAAATAACCCCACCCATCCCCCTCTTCGCTGACCACATTAAAGTTTGCAGGGTGATAAAAGGAGGAGCTGACTGTGTAGCATAAAGGACTGTGTAGCATAAAAGGACTTGCAGCAACTCTAGCTGTGGTCGTCGGAAGGTAGCCTGAGGTTCAACCTGGAAATGTGCAATGTAATGCACAACAGCAAACATGAAGCAAGTACGACCGACTTCCAGTACATGTTGAGCAACCGCGCTGTCACCAGAGTGTCCATGGAGAAAGATTTGGGGCTCAGCTCCTCCGACACCTTGGGCACCAGCTCCAACTACAAAGGTATGAAAACCAGAGCGAACGCAATTTTACACTTTCTGCGTAGACAACTTGGCGCCCTCACTCCCGAACTCTTCCTCACCATTTTCAAATCCTACGTGCGGCCGCATCTAGAGATCTTCAATACGGTGGCTCCTCCAACACTCAAGAGAGACCCTAATCTCCTTGAAAGAATACAAAGAACTGCAACAAAATTAGTTGAGGGGCTAAGGGGAAAGAAGTATCCTGAAAGACTTAAACACCTAAACCTATTTAATTTGGGTTGTCGCAGGAAAAGGGGTGACCTTATTATGGCATACAAGATCACCCATCAGGTAGACCACGCAAACAAGTCAATTTTGCCTGCAACTCAACGAGCTTCACGAGGAAACCCCATTAAGATAGCACACCAGAGAGCCAACACCATACTCAGATCCAAATTTTTCTCCCTAAGATCATGTGCTTTATGGAATGCCTAACCGCCACATATCGTCATAGCTCCCTCAGTCGACTCATTCAGGAGACGAGTAGACAGTTGTTTCACCTCGCGTGAACTACTACGGACGTACTCAGGTAGTCACCAACCTCAATGGCCCCCAACTCCCTCCTAACTACCACTCGCTATCTCCCTCCTAAATGCACCCACATTACCTACCAATTCTTCTGTGGGAACCAAACCCATGCGACCATTCGCGCAATTCTCAAATACTTTTTTTGTTCTTATTTCTCTTTTTCACCCCTCCTTTTCTTCTCCTTCCCTTTTCTTTTCCCTTATTATCATTTTTCTTCTTTCTCTATTTTTATTCTCTCTTCATTCTTTTACCACTACCTTACTATTCTGTTCCAGATACCTACACAGACATGAGCCACGGCAGTTCTCTAAACGTCCCAGCAACCCGTAGCTCCCAGTCACTCTACAAATTACAACTTACTAACCCACAAAACATCTACCTCACCGAAGCTAAAAACAAGAAAGCAGAGGGGATTTCCTCGTCCACTGCAGGAGCGAACCGAACAACTCGAACCACACCCTAAGAACTAGACGCGAGAGATCAAAAACTACCAGTTTTCTACGCTCGCGCTATCAATATTGAACATTGGAAGACGAAATAGCATATTGGGAACTGTACAGTAGGAGCGGCAAATTCGCCCATCTTACAACAACCTGGGGGGATTTGCTTTTATGCAAACGTCTAACAAGTTAACACTTGCAAAACTAAGAGAATAGTTGCGTTCGAAAATGTCTGGACAGGGCGATCGTTTCAATATTTTCCCATCTAGAATGTAAGTTATTACACTAGAAAAGTTCAGTAATGTTTTCCCCATTGTTGCATTGCAGGGCACAGACAGCCATGAAAAGTAGGCTGAAAGGTGCTCAGAGAGGTCACAGACTTCTCAAAAGAAAAGCGGACGCACTAACTGTTCGTTTCCGTGGCATATTAAAGCAGATAATCCAGGTATTGGGCAAACTTTTTTCTAATAATGACAGGCAAAACAAGCAATGGGGGAAGTGATGAAAGAAGCCAATTTCTCACTTGCTAGCGTCAAATTCACTACAGCAGCAAATATTAATAGTATCGTCCTCCAAAATGTTACTAAGGCTCAGCGGAAAGTCAAGACAGATAAGGATAACGTTGCAGGTTAGGAAATTTGTTTCCGGTACAACTTTTCAGGTGTGCAGTTGCCAGTCTTCAAAGTGTTTGTGGAAGGATCTGACAGTGAGTGTAATTTTACAACGTTACAAACAATAAACTCCACACAGTAAATTCTCTTAGAATAAGTACTTACTACCATTGAGTAAGTCGTAAAGCATACTGATCAACTCTATCAGTTGTAGGACTGGCCGGCAACATGCATTTCTAAATAGATAGAGGAGTAAACCAACCCTTGAGCGACGGTCGTTGCAGGAATGGCTTGCAGTCTTTTTCACCTTGAATTCGCTAACGTTGGCTGTCTTAGTGGAGAGCTGTCATTGATCATTTTAGTCTTCGAGTGCTATCTGCCTAGTCAGAGATGTTCAGTCATCAAAGTACCCAAAGTATAGCACTTCGAAAGCGAAAGGATTATTCAATATGTAGTGCTGATAGAAAGTCACTACTTGATGTAGAAAACGGAGAAATTTAGCCCTTATTACTCACGGGACCTGAATAGAACCTGACCTTCGGGCTTGTTTGAATTTATTGGCTTCTGTTTTCATAGTAGTATCCATGCGATGCTGTACCAAAAGTCACCATAGTTGGGTATTTCATTTCAATTGGCATTTCCCAGTCCTCTGCGAAATTATCTCAACAGTGGTTTTATTGTTTGGTATAAATAGCATTTTGTGGTAGTATTCATCACGGACTAGCATCGATTAGGAGGCCACTGAAAATCTGGGAGCATTGAGCAGCTGTTTCGTCCTGGCACGGGACTTCTCTGGAGTGTTCCATCCACTACCCAGCCAGGAGTTGGACTCAGGACCACGTTTCACGGCTAACGCCTTAACCATTCAGGCACTGGATCGGGATTCAATGGTTCACACTTCCAACTTCTGTCAGTTCTCCACTCATCTTAAAAATACACTACTGTACAGCACTCATTAGCGGCATGCTTCCAGATGAATATAGCGAAGTTCTAGTGAGAAACCTTGACATGTAGGTCCAGCTAGTCGGAAGGGAAGCGGATGCCATCTGAAGATCTTGGGTGATAGTTGCATTACATCGCAAATCGACAAAAGTTGGAAACTGTGGACCAGTAAACCCTGACCTAGTGGCTGAATGGTCAACGCGTTCGCCGTGAAACATAAGGGTCCTGGGTTCAATTACTACCCGGGTTGTTGATGTGTACTGCTGCGGAGTCTCAGACTAGAACGAGCAAGTTGTTTTTCTTGGTTATCAATGGTTCTTCAGCTGATCTCAATCTGTGATGAATACTATCTTGAAATTAAAATCACCATTCATCTCAAAAGATATTAGTAGCATTGTTGGTTCGTATCTTTGCCGACCACATGATGGAGATAGAGATGGACGCCACTCGGGAACCTGGGATAGATATATGACCAGCGTCAGTACATCTATGGCAGCTGTAGCGAGCTACCCTTCATTGCGTCTTAAACTCGTCATTTCTTCATGTTTGACTTGTCAATTTAGCAGGGTATTATGGTAATACAAGCGTTTGAAGCTCTCCCCATCCGCTCAACTGTTTTGGCATTATTTACTGAGATACACGTAGACGTTAAATGGTCGATTATTGTCTCACTGTTTGTTCTTGTAGATACTGGTCATCAGCTTCGCTTTGTCGTATGCCTGTATATTTGTTAGTACTATTCCATCATCTGGATAGATTGCTTCGCTTGCGCTACATAACTTTATAACAGCACAATTAGTTTGTTTGATTGTTCTTGCTGTGATGGTCCGACCAACTTTACTAAGTCATTGTGTTTTGTCCAGGAGCTGTTATAGCCAGTGTACTTTATGTAGTGTGCATTTGTACAACTATGTTGCTTTAACGTATCTTTTTTTTTCACTCTTTAGCATACGAGTTAACGGGTTTGGCTGGCGGTGGTCAACAGATAGACCGACTGAAGAAAAACTATAGCAAAGCTGTCGACTTACTTGTTGAGTTAGCGTCTCTTCAGACCTCATTCATTACACTTGACGATATTATAAAAGCAACTAATCGCCGAGTAAACGCCATTGAATTCGGTAATTTTAGTTATTTCGTATTTCATGATATTACATCATAATGACAGCTCGTACTTTGACGTGATGACACTTTTTATACGAAATCCGGTGACAGGTTTTTTTTAACCGTTTTACATCAAATATGAGGTATGTACCTCTGTAAATTCCATAACTTCTATAAGAATGAAGTCATCGTGAATAATGTAGAGGAAGGAGATAATATGTATAGTAATGATGGGCAGGCAATAACACTAAACCTGTACCCGTTGCACAAGAAGTAACTATCGTGGCTCGGTGGTGTAGTGGATAACGCTCTGGCGTTTGAAGCGATCGCTCCCGAGTCCCAGTGGGAACAACACTCACTGAGAGGCAGGTACATCCAGCTGACGAGTCCCAGATAGGACGGAATGCGCATACCGGATTCCACTGCCCATCATTACTATGCATAGTTAAAAAGAGGCAATATCGAGGCATCCACATAGGAGCCGATATGCCAAGAGAGACTGATCAATTCGGTCCAATCAACGACGGTGTAATACAAGCAATTACACTGAAGGAGATAATAGTAATTGGAATTCAGGAAGTAGTAACATAAAACTATGTTCAAAAGACTGAATCATTTTTCAGTTGTCCGTTTGTCTTATCACTTAATGTGTTTGATGAAGTTCTGGTAAACAAGGTACGCGATTACCTACACTTCAGTCGCGGTATAATGTACAAACTGACGGTTAAAACTTTCCGCCATTCCCGTGCTCCAGGTCCGCGCACGAAATCAATAGGCAATTTACTGAGTAGAAACTATTGGAATTTTTGTATATGTAGCAGTCGCCAACTATACTGTATTTAAGGATACTCATTATGGCCTGTGGTATCTCTGAGTAAGCTGTTGAAACCCACCAGTTTTGTGGTTCTGACATTGGACATGATCAGGGCTTCAAAGACAAAATTATCAGAATTCGCCTTGGAGATGTCAGGTCTCATCAGCATAGAGTACAACTGCACTCAGATGTGTTGTGTTTATAGCAACAATTCAGTGGAGAAAGCTAATTGGTATGTGCTAACTGAGCTTTTTGTCTCACTTTTTTCACTACCACTAACACCAAGTGCTTCAGGTGAAAAACTAGAATCATTTTGAGTTCATCAGCAACAATAGGCTGGAACAAGCCTTCCACTAAAATCATGAACTACGTTGTCCTTAGCTGTCACAAATTGCATATTATACTTGTGGACATAATTCTTCTTCCATTTGTCATACAGTGGAAACAATGTTGTGGAGATTTCATTGTGTAGCGCCGAGTGGTTTTCTGTCCCAAGCGCCACGATTGATAATTAAGACAGAACACAAACAAAACCAACGAATTTGATCGACACTAAGATGATTAGTGACAAAGTAAAAATGCATGTTATTCAAAACGATCCTAATAGCATTGATAAAAGTAGTTACCGAAGCGGATTAAGTACTCTGCTTATTATTAGCTCGATGCTTTGTATCGATGATGTATTTTGATTACATCCAGCTATAGGCAGGGATTTCCAATGCTAGTGAATATACAGTAGATATTCTGGGAGATATGAAAGGAATTGTTTTTTTAAAAGAGTAGAGTGCTCTAAGTAAAGATATGCTGAACGACCTTTTGCTATAATTGGTATTTATTTACCTTTAAAACTCGGATTTGTGCTCTAAATTACAACTAATATTAATCACTGTTCATTTTGATTGGGCATCATATATTCCTTACCAAAGACATTCATATTTATGCGATCATCACAATAATGTAAAACTGCTCGTTTTATATGAAGTTTTGGTATCATTTTTAGTTATCATACCGAAAATAGAGCGTACATTGAACTATATTACACAAGAACTGGATGAACGTGAGAGAGAAGAATTTTACAGGTTAGTGTCATAGAGGTTTTCTGTAGGTCGTATTAACTTTCCAACAGTTTCATTACAAAGTTTTCAGTGTTACATAGACACAATGCCGTTTTTACATTTCAATGTTGTTATTTGGAATGAAAAGTGGTAAATGTAAATGGATGATAAACGTTATGAATTTAGAGTAAATTGTACGAGTAAATGACAACGGTTAATGTGTTTTTGTGGTGAGGCGTGGTGTGGTCGAGTGATAAAAACTCGCAAGAACGGAACTATCGGCTAAATGATTGCTCCCGATTCACGATCGTGCCCGAAGCTGAATAAGGATCTTGAAAAATCTTGAATCATCGTTTAATTGTATAAAACTCACTAATAAACCATGAATTAAACCCTAAATGCTATGGGTAAATGTTATCTAACTAGAGATGTACAGTTAACTCAGAGTAAGAGCGAAGTTCGGTAGGCAGTCAATGATTTCTTGTCAATGGATGTAAGATTGCCTTTCTGTTTCCTGTGGGTTTCACTAACATAACGGTCCATCTTAGCCAAAAAATTATCTTCCATGTTCAACGATCGAATATGTACCTAGGTGTATGGTTGCTTGTTTGCAGCTATTATGAGCGCAGAGATATGAAACAATACTCATATCGCATACACTTAATCTCCATATATATTTGGATTCTAAAGTAGATTAGTTATTTATTTTCGTTTGCTTCAGTCGAATCAACGATTACTCTCTATTATTTAAACTACAATAAAAAGTCAAAGAATGCGTTGAGCATAATTATAATCAATGATAAAATATCTAATGAAGTAGGATTTAAGGATGATAATGATGATAACAATGATAATAATCGTAATAATAATAACGGTGGGGTGGTGGGGAAAGCAGTCAAAATAAGTGCAGACAGAGTTGTTTACGTATTTCTTTCTCAAATTGAAACAACTATTTACTGTTAACTATCCTCGCTTCCTTTTCCATCTCTGGCTTTCGTCACCCACCATTACTAACACTCATTGCGTGGACGGTCTGTCAGCCTACTTTTCAGTTACTTCTGCTAATTTTACTTGAAGTCTACAGGAGTACATTCATGTGCATCCATTGATTCAAACGAGGCTGTTGAGATCCACCTACCCCTTCTTACTCTTCTAAGGGTCAATTACTGTCTTTAACGGTGTTCATACCGTGAATTTGAGATGGCATCAGACTTCTTCAGGATCAGTGACGTTCTGTTACGACAACTGTCTAACCTTGCTTTCCAAGCAGTGACTGAAATGGTCTTGCAGCTGTCGTTTTTACTATGTTCATTTAGACTAAGGTATAGAATTGCTCAAACCAACCCCTGATCACTGTCCAAACATGTCCTGTAGATGGAACGGTAATCTTTCAGCAATCCTCGTTAAAGGTTGCTCGACGCAATATCAGTTGTTTCCACCATAAAGTTGAGATCAGTGGATATTACGTCGAAAATTTCTCTTTTTACATATGAGATTCGCGCTGGTCAGGTATATATGGTTTTCTGAGGACAGTTGTAACAGGCAATCGCCGTTATCCATCCGTTAAACAGGGATTGCAAATATGTGTCTGACAGCCTAGCTACTTGTAAATTTAAATGATCTGGTATGTTAACTGCGTCTGAACGTCAAACTTTCAGTAGGAGGCTAGACTGTTTTCCATAGAACTCACTCTTCACTTCATCCAAACTGCAGTCAGTGGGTGCACAAGTAGAGATTAAAAAAGGACAACGGCAATTTTTACAGCTTGTTTTGGTCTTCATTGCACCTTTCAGTCGGACAGCACACAGGTGGTTTTCTGTTATGATACCTTTAAGCAGTGCACATTCTGCCTTGGCATTTATTTCTATACCTATATCTGGAAGACCGTAAGAACTAGCCACTGAATCTCCAACTTCACCATATTGTTTAGGTGAACTCAAGTGAATAAGCACACTTGGGTTCTGTATACGAGGCTTGGGCAGCCAGCTAGTATCGTTAATCGTCATACAGTTGGTGTGCTTCATTGCTAACTGCACAAAAGTGCATGCAGTTGCTGGGCGCATCTCTTTTCTATTCTATGGTTTTGACCAATGATTCTTGTCATATTTGACGGAGGGTGCAGGCATTGAAAGCCTCAGTATGTAGTTTTGAGCCTGGTTTCAGGAAACTAGGGATGCTATTTCGCGAACTCGAGACTTTATCTAGGGCTGCAGGGCTGGAACAGGTTGACGACGTGGGAATATTTACCGAGAGATGTGAGGAAAGATTAGGAAGCAAAGCTGTGAAGTGTTGGTAGTGATCTAAGGGAAGTTAAGTCCTGTCAGGTTCGTGAGGGTGATTAGCACTTCTCGGTTGCCCACACTGTGGATGGTTAATTCTCCGTGAGATTCCTGAGGAAGATGAGTTAGTAGTGGTGGAGGATGAGTAATGTGTTTCGAGCTGACTTTTCCTTTCAGTAGGAAAAACAACACCACAATGGACTGCTGGTCATTTACAAGAAATATTTAACTGCTATCACTCTGTCCAACCTGCAGGTAGCAGCTATCGATCGGACGGACAATCATCAACAAATTTCGGCCCACTACACAGCGTTTTGGAATGCTGAACGTCAGAAAGTCGTTTCTCGCTTGATAGGCTTAAACCATTAGGGATTTTTTTTACGAACCCCAGTGATTAAGTTAAAAATAATAAAATGCAACAATCCCACCTAACCGCGTTATTGGTTAAGCACGAAAGTCAACCACAGTTGTATTTACCTACTTACCTAGAGAAGCTAAAAATCAGGTGTCAGGAGTTGTAACTGCCCTTATCCAAACACGGGCTATAAAGTTTGATCAAAACGCTATCAAGTAAATACTACTGCATCAGTGCACTATGCCAAGTAAGCAAATTTAATCTAAAGCTGGAAACCTGGCTCTAAAGTTTTCTTCTGGGCTGAGCGCTTCATGGTATTCAGTACTTAGCGTTCTTTCCAGACCTTTTCATTATTAAATAAGTTGGCGTTAATTGATTCAAAGCACCTAGCTTTGCACTGAGAGTCACTGGATAAAGTTCAGCAAAACTGTATTCCTTAGCTACACTGGCGTACAATGTGTATCATACATTCCGCAAAGTGTCTTACTAACCAGTTTCTTCCATTAGGTGACTCAAGTGAGTTATAGAAGCTTTTGGCACGTATCGGATGTAGCTTCCACTATGCTCGTGCATTGTGATTATAGAGCACTGAAGCTGGTGTTGCAGACTGCAGATCTTTTGCAGCTCTATTTTTGGAAGGGATTGGTATGAATTGGAAAGCTTCAAGAAACTTGTAAGAACTTGGTATGTATGGATGAGAAGATTTCTGAGTCCACAAGCGCTTCTGTTTCTGTTAACGCAGGTACATTCTCTGCGGTGCTGATAACTAACCGCGAATGAAACTTGATTCGACATTTAGTCGATATTGAGTGTGAGCAACGCCTATCTGTCTATAAAAGTGACGTTGTAAACCATCGGAACCGAAGATTAGTTTGTCATGGGTCATACGGATAATCTCAGAGTGTCTGAATTCATAAGTTTCGATTCAAGTGACAGAGGGGAGATCTCAGATAACATAGCAATGATAAATATATGTAGCTACAGGTTAATAATATGTTATCTGCTCACAGCTTCAGCAGGTAACCTTCATTGTCTTACTTATGGTCATTAGGTTACCAATACTCATGCAGACGACTCTCTTACGTTTGAATATTCAGCTTGGACTATCCGTCAAGTGCTGATTATCGAAGTCAATCTGCTGATGGTTAAGCTCACCCTTGGTTTCATCCAGACTACAGGGTTAATGAAAGATGTTCGCTACTTAAAATCTGCTGTGACTTCCATCCAACCTTTTGACCTAAAAACGGGTGACTTAATGAGGAATCCACTTCAGTAGTGTTGCTTTGATTCTCGCACTTACTTCACCAGTGAGATCAGACATCGGTGCCATGAAGTCACTGGATAAGCGTTTCTGGCATGCGCAGTACCATGTCTAAGCCACCGTAGTCGACTTAGGTTCACAACCTCATCAACTGACTTACTTATCTTGCCCTGATACCCTTCGTGTGTCTTCAACATTGCTCACACGATGTTCCTACCAAACGCAAGCAATGCTACGAAGACACCTATGATCAAAATCCTGTAACCGGTTCATGTCTTCTATTTTTAATGGCCATCTGTCAGCCATATTGCAGAACAAAACAGACTGTAACACAGATAGATAGATAGATAGATAACGGGTGTCTTGTCAGATGACGCAAGTTAACAAATGCTAAACGAGCGGAGATTCCGAACTGAGATTTCGTCAGCAGCCAACTCGTTTGGATCGATACAACTCCTCAAGTAAGCGAAGTGGTCAACACATTCCACCACTTCGCTCCCTATCATTAAACTGGGAAGAGTTTCAGATTAGTCCTGAGCATCATCTTACATTTAACAGGAACGAAACGCATGCCAAATATACTCAGTTTTCTCCCAAAGCGTTCAGAAAGCACTATTTTGTCAGCATCTTTACCTAGCGGGGCAATATCGTCTGCGTACTCCAAGTCAACCAGATGATCCAAGGAGTAGGTCAGTCTATGTGAAATCAGGCATACCTAAGTTTGTGTCCATTAGTACATCTATGGTGAAGTAAAATAGGAACAGTGACAGTGGGCATCCCTGGCGGACACCACTAGTTGTTGTCAGTTTGCATGACAACTCTCCGTAATCCTTGACACAGCTGCGTGAGTTCCATTTGGGAGCTTTGATAAGCACTACATATTTTCTCTATGCTCCCTTCACATTTAGACACTGCCACAACAGCCCACAGTCGACAGAGTTGAGTACCGTGTTCAAGTCAAGAAATATGGAGGGTGCTTGTCACTGGTAAGTATGCCTGTGTTCCAGAACCTGTCGAAGAGTTAAATGATCGGTGCACTCTCTTCTAGGTCTGCAGCCTGTCTAGTTTTCTCCAGGTCCACTTGGTTTCGGATAACTATGGATCCTAGAATATTAGTCAAACTAATTCCCTTATGGTTGTTACAGGAAGACTTCTCTCCCTTCTTGTAGACTGGGATGATCAGTAAAGTACACCAGTCTGAGTGCACTACCTCTGATTTGCATGCGCTACCTAGTACGTTCATTACTCTAATCAGCAATTCCCTACTTCCATCCTTGAAAACTTTAGGTGGCAAACTGTCAGATTTTGCTGCTTTACATCGTCTGAGGTTAGAAACGGCTTTCTCAACTTCAAAGAGAGTTGAAGGACTGACATCTACGTCCCATTCAATTTCAGGCTGGATTCTGCGCAACTGAAGCGTTGCTGACGGTCAGTTAAACTGTTCAAAGGGTTCTGCCCAACGTTATAGTAGCCGCCTGTCCTCGGAAATTGTCAGCGTTCCATCCTTTTCGGTGATGGCTTCATTCACCATCGTCTTCTTCTTGCTGGTGTCCTTAATAAGCCTAAATAGTTGCCGAGTGTTGTCCAACGTTGATACCATCTCCATTTCCATCGCTTTTCCCACCCACCACTGCTCTCGATCGTAACGAAAACTCTTGGCCAACCTACGTTTAAGTTGCTTCCGCTCTTCATCGTGGTCGGAGGCTGCTGAAATCAGTCTTCTCACATCAATCAGTCCGGATGACGTCACGGGAATCCAATGATGTTTGTTAACCTTCGAATGTAGGTTACCATTGCTGTCACGTTCAGACAAGTGCTTAGCTAACTCCTTCCCAACTACGTACTTGATGTCCTCATCTTCCGATGGAGCGTTGACAAGCTTTGCTATCGCCTATTCGCTGTGCCCAGTAAAGCGCAGATATGTACGAGCCCGTAATAGCGCATGTTTGGAGTCCAAACAGGTATTCCAGAAAGAGTGTCAATCCTCCACTGGTCCTCTTCAACAATGGCTTATAACAATATTATCTGTATGTGTCCGTCGTTGGTTTGATGTTGGCGGACGTCTTGTGAGACAGTGTTTCTCCTTATACCTAAAGTTTGTTGTGGCCAAAAACAGGTAATTGTCGGAATAAACTTGCAACAGACGATCGCCGTTGTCGGTCCACTGACATGTGGTTCTGTAAATACCTCCGAGATGCTTTTCCGATTGGTTCGGCTCAGCTTCCCTACTTGAGCGTTAAAGTCACTTGCCATTATGACCATATCTGAACGCTCTGCTTTGCGTATAAAGATTGACAGGTTTTCATAGAATTCATCCTTTGGGTCATCCGAACTGTAGTCGATGGGTGGCATAGGTAAATTACGAATAGGCATCGGTTGGTCTCAAGCTCCTTCATAGTTCTTACAGATCCATACAGTCGGAAAATGTATAGATGGCTGCTGATTGGTATCCAGTCGAGAAGCGTATTTTCTGCCCTGCAACTCAATGCTATACCTACACCAACGAGTCCACAAGAAATAGCTAGGGGGTCTCCAGATACTCGTAAGGTGAATTTTGAAAATTCACTACCATGGTGAGGTGAGCCCAGTTTATTAACCACACTCTGGTCCTATATATACGTGTCTCAGAGTCACAGCACACATCCATGGTTCAAGATTCCAGAGTTCCAGAGCGATACTTGCTGTTCGATTTAACTTGGATTTTGGACATTGAAAGCTCCAACATGCAATCGATGGCATGGTCTTAAGCTACTAGGAATGAGGTTTTGATGACTTTAATCATTGGTAGTGGTCGCAGAGTGAGAGGTTAGGGAAGTGTAAGAGGCTTAATATTTAGTATCAGCAAGCGTAGGCAAAGGAGGCAGCTGACGAGGATAAGTCGGTTGGGTCGTGTGTACTACTAGAAGCGTGTATGCTGTTGACACTTCTTGGCCATCTACACCGTAAAAGGTTACTTTTTCTTAAGGTACTTGAAAAAGAAGGAATAGTGTATGACCTCAGAACCCATGGAATATCTGCTTGAGGCCTGTTACACACGGCCTTTTGACAAGTTTGAGATTTTCGTTTTTGGCTTTTGACAGGATTTGAAGAGTAGACTCTTTTCTATAAACTGGATTCATTTCGTGAATATTATTGGAAAATATTTAAGACGTGATATTTTTCAAATAGAGATGTACAGATAAAATGTAGAATACCGGGAAAGACCTTACTTGTTTCATTCTAAGGTAGTATTTATCATGAGCTGAAGTCATTTGAACAACTAATGAAAATTTGTGAGCCCTAAACTGTTGTTTCGTCTTAGAATAGGACTCCTCAGCAGAAAGCATCCATAAGCGAAATAAAAGCAAGATAATGTTACAAGTGAACTTTCGTAAGCATAAAGAATTCGTTGGTAGAATTAACATGTACATCGTTAATTTGTAGTTAAAACTGATTGAAGAAAAATAACTCATTTTATCAAGTTTTAATAAAAGTCAGGTTTGTGTGTGTGTGTGTTGTACATAAAGGGTACTGAAAAGTTGTTTATTAATTTGTATACTAGGAACTATGTATTCGCTTAAATACAAGGTACTATTTAAAACAGCACATTGAAATAATAGAAAGAAGGATAAACTTAGTATACTGACATATAATAATTACAAACTTATTTGTCGAATACAAAAACTTACTATCTCTTTGTAAAGAGCTTTTCCCATACGTACACGAAAAGCGGAAATTCTGTAAATATAATTTTTTTTTCATATTTCTTAATAGATTAAAAAAAGTTCAAGAAAAAAGAAACAAAATCGTGCACTAAAAGAATCTGAATTGAAAGCTAAAGGATTTAAATTAGCCTCAGCTGATCATGCTCCAAATATTTTAAATCAAGACGAAGATGAAGGACAAATTCTTTTTTAGTTACATTGAAATCAACAGACTATGCAATATACAAGTACAATCAATCGGTTCAGATCAAATAATGCATAATATTATTAATAAACAGTGATAAGTTAGCCGCTTTCACTGTGTGAATATATTTTTCTCTTTTCTTCTATTTTATTTCATTTAAAGTTGTGTTTATACCTGAGGGGAATAGTTTTTTTCTTTCTCTTCGATACATATTAATTTTGGGTGGTTTTGTTTTGAACACGAAGCTGTTTGTTAAATATATAATTAGTTAATTTGTTAGTCTGAAGGTATTTTATATATAACGTTATATTTAGAGTATTCGCCACTGAGCTATCGGGTTTCATGGGAAGCTCAGTGGCTAGTGTGGTTTCTCTACGCTAGGTGAAGTTTCTTAAGGGATTTGGAAAAGTATGAAAACCAGGTTAATCAGTAGAAGTCTTCTCAAATAGTACACTAATCTAAAAGAGACTGAAGGTGAGCTAACACTTTAATAAGCAAAGAATTCATACTTTCATCATCACGGGAGCAATCAGAAAACGTTAAGAAGATATGGATTTAAATTAGAAACAACCTAAAAGTTAGTGAATAAAGTTCTAAATATATTATGTTCAACCCTTTTATAAGTCACCACTTTACTAACTGTCGAAGACAATCCGGATCATTACAGAATCTGATATAGTTTCGTTACGGCTCAGTCTGCCACACCTCGTGTCAACATATTAAATTGGTAGTTAGCAAGATGAAGGGTAAATGGACGAAACTAGGTTCAGCGTAGGTCACAAAAAACTACCTAGTAGAAAAGAAGATAAGTAATGTAGAAGAGTACTATTTGATACTTGTAATTCCCTGTTGCTAAACGGGGTTGAATTGCTCGACCTCTCTTGACCATATGAGCTCCTATGTATGTATGTATGTCCCCGCACAAGAGGTGGGTTTCGTGCCCCAGTGGATAACGCCTTGATGTTTGAAGCTATAGGTACTGGGTTCGAGTCAGTGGGAAACAAGTCACTCACTGTGGTCTAGGTACATACAACTGACGAGTCCCAGATAGTATGGGACGCGCCAAAATGGATGTAGTAGTAATATTTTCTTGAACCTATCGTATTCCAGCTAATATTACGCCGAGATAAACGGTCTACTGTTGAACTGCCGTTTCTCGTTGTGCTGACGGCCTCCTATGATACTGTTTTCAGCACTTACTGATCGGAAACCAGGTGCCGTGGTTCGATGGTATATTCAAACTTTTCCTTTTACAGAATACCTAAAGTGGCAGTAAGTTTTCTGGGGATGAGTGGGGCTGTAACTATGCACTGACTGTTTAATCAGCTCCAACGCGGCCTTAACTCTTTTGTCTGAGATCTGAAGAGTCATCTTACATGTATTAAGGTAAAGACAAGCCTATGTGAACGGATGCGTAGTTATTGTCGTGTCACGCGGTCTATAAGAAGCGAAAATTCCTTGTTAATCCTTTCTAATTATTGTTTATAGCCCAGTTTTTGGGCTAAGATTATTACGGCAAACTATGTTTGCTATCTTAGATAGTCTGTTCATGCTTAAGATTAGTGCTAACTACAAAAAGTGCGTTGTCGGTTCACGATTCCATTTTTTTTTGATTTGTTATACCAAGGTCTATAAGTATGTGAACTTTGCCCTAACATTTTTATTGTTTTACTAAGCAGTCTGCAGCTCGTACCGTGTTTAGACGATCACAAGGATTTTTGATATTAATTTTTGAGATAAGAATGATATGTCTACTCACAATTGAAACTTTTCTTCCGATCATAAGAAACTTCACGTTGAACTTGAACAAACTTAAGATTTTTTCTAAGCTTCCATTGGACAGATTGTTTATTTGTTACTGGGTGATGAAAGGTTTTGTTGTAAAACTTCAGACACATACCTTACACCCCACCCAAAGCATAGTACTTCCACCTTATGTGGAATGTCACAGTGAAAATCAAATATTTTATGTATTTATTTTAGCCTTAGTTCATAAGTAGTGTTATTGCTTGTATTATACCGTCGTTGATTGGACCGCATTGATCGGTCTCTATTGGCATATGGGCTCCTGTGCGGATGCCTTGATATTACCTGTGTTCTTATTGTAGTAATAGTGGATAGTAGCCAGCAATGGAATCCAGGATGCGCTTTTCGTCCTGTATGGGACTCGTCAGCTGGATATACCTGCCTCCCAGTAAATGACATCTCCACCTAGTCATATTGGACTGAGGTACGGTGGTTTTATCCCACCCTATTATGTGGTTGTGTTTCAATTCATTCATTGCAATAGCCGAGTGTTTTTCTAGATCATTGGTCTTATTGGGGTTGTCATTCTACATTTAGCTAAATTCCTATGTTTCGCTGATCTGTTTGACCTGTGTACAGTCACAGTCACTCCATGGGATTCGGTAGAATAATTTGCTTAATTGGATCTATCAGATCCTTAAGCGGGCAGAGCTTATCTCTGAGTGACTTTGTAGGTTCAAATGTCACCCCGATTCCAGCCTTGTTGAGAATCCTACGTAAAGTTTCTGACATTCCTTCCTTGTAGTGTAACAGAATAGAGGCTTTGAACTTATTTCTACTCGTGTTGTCGCATTATTTATATTCTCATTACTGTTATTATTTTGTTTCTTATGTTTTCCTATGAATTTCTTAATAAACTGCGGAGTACAATTATTAACGCTTCTCTTATGTATTTCAATTCCTTGTTCAAGTTCTTACAATGACTGATGAGTTTTTTCAGCTCTGTCATTTAGACATTTGACCAAACCCGCCTTAACTGATATTGGATGAGATGACCTGAAGTCTGGATACCTGTTAGGATGTATCGATTTCATGTAGGTGGTAGTATCCAAACCGCCGTGCGTCCTTCGTTTGATTCTGCAATTCAATTTAAGTAATTTTCCTTGTTCATTTTTTACCTCCTAAGTGATTTGGATTGCGCCTACTACTGAGTTTATATGTATCAGGAAACTGTTGATATGTTCAGATGTCAACATAGTGAATGTGTGATCCACATATCGCCAGTTTCAGGTACAGGGTTATACGTTTGTAAAGCCATGTTTTCCCAAATGTCTATAAATATATCTGTTAGGATTGGGGATATTGGTGATCCTATTGCTACTCCTGTTTGTTTGTATACTTTGTCCCGAATCTTGAAGATTGGAGGTCGAGCACAACTGTACGCCTAATATGATTTCACTAATCGATATCTTCGGTCTATGAGATAGTTCTAAATCAGCATTCAGTTGATTTCTGGCTGCCTCCAGTGCCATATTGATTGGTATTTTAGTATACAGACTTCTTACATCCAAGCTAACCATTTTTTTTCATCCTCTTCTGTATGTAGGTCATTAAGCTTCAGTTTTAACTCGTAAGAATTGACTAGTCTAGAATTTCAACGGTTCCTAATAGGACATAATATCGATGCTGAGTACTTTGCTAGTTCATATGTTGAGGTATTTCTGAAGTCAACTATGGGTCTAATGGGATAACCTGGTTTATGAAACTTAGTAATATCATAAATTTTGCTGGATTATCAGTTTTAAGCAATAAATTAAACCATTTAGACCCACCTAGAGATGGCTTTAGTCGACGTATCAGATGAACTGTAGCTTTCCTAATTTTGTTCATGACAGTGTCTACAGGTTTCTTGATCTCTTCATATTGTCTTGTTTGAATATGTTCATCAATTTCGTTTAGATAGTTCAATTTGTCTATAACTATTGTTGAATTGTCTTTATCAGATTTAGCAGTTACTATGTTGTTGTCATTTCGTAGATTGTTCAGAACTGAATATTCTAGTTTCGCCAAGTTTCTCTGTGTCTTTTTTCAGTGCTAAAGTTTACTGTGCTCTAACCTGTTCAGTAGCTGCCGCATCTACCGAGTTTAATGCCACTTCTATACCAGGTATAGCATCTTTGGGTTTTAGATGACCTACTGTCACGTTTAAGTTTAGTCCTTTCTCAAGTACTTTCATTTCAGCTAGCTTAAGGCTTTCCAGGAGAGATTGGCTACCCATTTTGTTCTGTCGATGTTTGATGATTTTTCATTTGTAATGAATTACAATGAAAATAAAGAATATCAGGTGACAGGACTACAAAAGTCAGATATCGAAAGGAGTGTGGTTACATTGATATTATTACGAGCGATAATTTATGCTCTAAATGTCATCAAGTAAATAATACTATATCACTGTGCACTATGTATCAAATAAACGGATCTAATATGGGATTACATTCTACCACAGTGCCCAAGTTTTGCACTTTTATATTGCTCAAATATTGTTTGGCTCTATCATATAAATGTGGAGCTATGACCTGTTGGTCCTGTCGGACAACTTTAAACAGATGGGTCACAGGCTTGAACCTCAAGGCTTAGTAGTCAGGTTATACCATATTCTTTCAGAGAGAAGGTGTGGTTCAATTGCCTAATGCATATGGTTACCGAGTCTCATTATGAGAATCAGTGGAATTCATCTATATGCATTCACAATGTATTTTAGAGGGATCTATTCTCATAAACAATGTTTTACCTTATTCATATAAAGCCTTCTTATATGTTGTCAAGTCAAACTAGATGCCGAAAAGTGATTCATAAGTATCGCACAGCCACCACTAGCTGATATATTAATAGTTTTGTTCCATCTGATGAGACGAAGTTGTAGTGAGCGCTTGTTTCCATATCAAAATTACGTCGGAGATATTAACTGTGAACATCAGAAACAGGTGAAGGCATTGATCCACTTCTTCGCTTATCACCTGGAGTTGGTAGCCGGATTAAATGCAGGTTTTGAACTTATTTCAGAATAGGCATAATGACAAATAGTGTAATAGTGAAATAGTACTGTAAATTGGAGTGTAGAATGAAGAAATTGACATAGCATTAGACGCTAAGGAATCAATG